CAAAAAAAGTAATTAGAAAAACATTATTTTTGACATTTCTATATGAAAGAGCAACTCAAATACTATCGATTCGCATATAAAACTGGAAATTAATTTTTTGTCGCGATAGGTCCCTTTTCTCGTGGAGCGTCACATATGCATAATAATGTATGAAAATAATATAAATCCATGAAAAACAAATATAATATTGAAATAAATATAAAGTTTTAGTTTAAACATATTGAAAAAGCTAGTCGCTTTTCACTTTTATGAGGGTATTAACGGTAACTCGACCCTTTTCGCAGGTAAATTTCCCAGTTCCATTTCAGTACCAAAATGCACCAAATTAGTACTGAGTTGGTACTGAGATCTCAGTTCCAATTTCCCAGTACCAATCCAGTACCACCCTTCCGGTATGGAGGACTACAAAGCTTCCTCCGCGAGGAAGCAATATATATATATATATTGTTATTAGAAATTATATTTACTATATTTTATAGAAAACAATTGATAACAATAATTAAATAAGTAGAGTAACTTACCTTTATTAATTCAAATTTTTAAATAGACTTTTTCTATTTTTTTACTTTTTGTCACTTTTTGCACTTATTTGACGGCAACTAAGTATGTACTGACTTGGATTAAGAAACGATTAAATCCATACCGCACATATGATCAGGATTTTCGTATTCGATGAGTGGGGGAATTTTGAATCTTCAAATGCGCATGGGTGAAATCCTAAAGGAATAAAGAGTACAGTACTATATTATGTAAAAAGTATGTTATCGATTATTGCTTATTATTCGATATCACTTAACTATAGATACATAAAGAATTATTAAAAAAAAATTAAATATGTTCCTGTAATTTTCACGTAAAAATACGTAAGTGTACCAAATTAGAGCTCTTTATGTCAAAAGATGCGGCTGCTAGGGGGGGTTACATAGTCATTTTTAGGTTTTTTTTTTCGTAAAAATTCATGGTTTTTCCTTGACAACACTATGATAATCAACTCCAATCATGCTCGCTATATTTTTTTTGTAATCTATACGTAGAAATACGTTAAAATATATAAATTTAAATCCCTTTCAACAAAATTTTGTTCTTTTTTGGTGGAAAAATTACATTTTTTTCCTAGAATTGTCATTTTTTCTTGAAAAACTTGATAAAAAGTTAATCATGAACTCTAAGCGTGACCGCTTTTTATCCCTGTACTTTTTCTGTAAAAATACATTTGAATACTAAATATGAACAGTCCGGGTTAAATATTGTGTGCGCTAGGGAAAATAAATCATTTTTTTCGAAATTTTTTATATTTCCTTGACAACGCTATGTAAATTGATCCGAATCAAGTTCGCTATATTTTTCCTGTAATTTTCACGTAAAAATACGTAAGTGTCTGATTTTTATTATTTTACCAGTATTTAGAATAGATGAAGCAGTATGATGAAAGTATTTTGCGGACAAAGTCGGATGGGATCTGCAGCAGCGGTCCAGGTGACCGCGTAAGTTTTTTTCGTACTTCTGTCTAATTGAAGTATAATGTGTGGACAATGTCTTTTACACAATTTATGTAATTTAAGTATTATACTTAAAGTAGACAAATGTAACAAAAAAACCTTACGCGGTCACTTGTGCCACTGCTGCGGATTCCACACAATTTTGCCCGCAAAATAATTTAGGTCATATTCAACCCCCCCCCGTAATCTGTTAACAATCAATTTTACGTACTTTACGTAATTTACGAAATCTGCATGTCAAAATACGTAAGAGTTCGGGGTTTCATGAAAAGCGGGGGTACAAGATTTTCGGAAATATATTTCTTTTTAAAAAAAGGTATCATTTGGACAAAAATTTCCATCCCTAACTTTTGGTACTTAATTCTTTGGTTTCCCCCACTGAATTTCTTTTTTTTATAATGAAACAAAGATATTCCACAAAGGATAATCCAAAAATTTTTAAAATTGAGAAAAGTCATTATTATGATTTTTTACCAAAAAATATAATTTATAATTTTTCGTTGTTATAGAAAATACTTTTGTAATAATAATTGTACGTTAGATTAATTTTTTAACATAAATATTCACGATAGTGAGTTTAAATAGAATAATATGATAAGAGAATTAGAGAGACCGAGAAAGAGAGAAAGAAGGAGGGAGGGCGGGGTTTGAAATAGGCGTATTTGTTTTCTAAATTTTAGAAGGAGGTATGGAAAAATTGTATTTTTAATTTATCCCATCCTTTATATTTAACTTGAATATTCCATCTATTGTTACATTGTAAGTAGAACTCTTAATAATATTTTTCAAATATTATTATAACAAAGTTTATATTAACATATTTTCAAAATATTGGTTTATTGTAGATTTTGATTTAGAATTAAAAACTTAAATTGCATATTGTTTATTAATATTTTATATAATGATAATGTTTTAAAACAGTAATAAGAACAATTATTTAGTTATAAGTCTATAGAATTTAAGTGGATATTGTTTTTGTTATTTGATATTGTGATATGGTTTTGAAGAATAAAATGTTGATATTATGAAATAAATTGAAATGTTATTTTTTGAAATGGAATATTGGTTGTAAATTGAAGATTGATTTTGAAGTGAAATGTTGATGTGCGACTTAAATATTGATTTCAAGTTAAAATGTTGATTTTGTTTGACATTTAAATGTTACTTTCTGAAATGGAATATTAGTTGAGAAATTAAAGATTGCTTTTGAAGGCATATATTGATCTGCGGGTATAATATTGATTTGATGTTAAAATATTGATTTGGGTGAAAAATTTATTTGAAGTTAAAATACTGATTTGAGGATAAAATATTGATTTGAGGTTAAAATATTGATTTGGAGTAAAAAATTGATTTGAAGTTAAAATATTAATTTGAAGTTAAAATACTGATTTGAGGATAAAATATTGATTTGAAGTTAAAATACTGATTTAAGGTTAAAATACTAATTTTATAACTTAATATTTAATTGAAATTAAATTATAGGATTAGTGTAATATAAGATTTTCTTGATTTCATTTGAAGAAAATTCAATTATTTTTAATAATATACTTCTTTTAAAAATATATTTTTTGACATCTAATAAGCTCATAAAAAATGTCAAATAACGAAAAGTTAATTTATTTAGATAATGACGACTATATAGTTATAATGACAGAAGGACTAATGTTAAATGATAATCATATGAATGAATTTAAAAAATTATTGAGAAGAGAATCAAATCATACTTTCAGAATGCAAAATACGTTGTATTTAAATTTGCTAGATGAAATTAATCCAATTAATAAAAAAGAAAAACATATTCAAATACTTTTTAGTGGTTCTTTTGATTCTGGACATTGGATTTGCACTTATTATGATGGAAAAATATTGTTTATTTATGACAGTCTTAATAAAGGATGTTTAAATAAAGATCCAAAAAAATACTTAATTAGACTTTTTCCTTTTAAACCCAAAGTAGTCTTTGCAGCAGTTCATCAACAACCAAACGGTGTTGATTGTGGTCTTTTTGCAATAGCTATTGCAACATCTATATATTTTAATATTAAGCCCGATACTGTAGATTACGTTCATAACCAAATGAGACAGCATTTACATTCTATTTTTAAAAATAATCGTTTAACCACTTTTCCATCAGTTATAACTGCTAATATAAGAAATGTAGTCGTTGAAAATGATTGGGAACGACTTTATTGTGATAGGTCCGAAGAACTACAGTGAGGGAAATTAAACATAAATAATATCCAAAAGACATCGAAAAATCCTGTAAATAAATTATATGGGATAAATAGAGTCCTCCCTTTAAAAAATAATGATATGAAAAAGAAATCTAAAATTATAAAAAGCAATAATAATATTAATAAAAGTGATAATTCTATTAATTTAAATGATGGCGACTATAGAATTATAATGACAGAAGGACTAATGTTAAATGATAATCATATCTATGAATTTGAAAAATTATTGAGAAGAGAATCAAATCATACTTTCAGAATGCAAAATACGTTATTTTTAAATTTACTTGATAACATTATTCCTATTAACAAAAATGAAAAGCATATTCAAATACTTTTTAGTGGTTCATGTCATTCTGGTCATTGGATTTGTGCATATTATGATGGAAAAATATTATTTATTTATGACAGTCTTAATAAAGGATGTTTAAATGAAGATAAAAAAATACTTAATTAGACTTTTTCCTTTTAAACCCAAAGTAGTCTTTGCAGCAGTTCATCAACAACCAAATGGTGTTGCTTGTGGTCTTTTTGCAATAGCTATTGCAACATCCATATATTTTAATGTTAAGCCAGATACGGTAGATTACATACACAACCAAATGAGACAGCATTTACATTTTATTTTTAAGAATAATCCTTTAATCTCTTTTCCATCAGTTATAACTGCTAATATTAGAAATGTAGTCGTTGAAAATGATTGGGAACGTCTATTTCATGATAGATCTGAAGAACTGCAATTAGGAAAATCAATTATTAAAAAAAATAAACTGATGACAAGTGAGATAATTAAGGAGAAGAAAACGCGCAATAAACGAAACCTTCCTAAAATGGAAATTGAAATGAAAGAACGTCAGGAAAAAAATTTATTGTGCAAAAGAAAAAAATTATCGTTGGAAAGTGAGGAACAAAAAAAAGAACGTCTAATAAAGGAATTGACATTAAAAAAAATATGAAAAATAATAGGAGATTAAAAACGTTAGGAATTGCAATTAAAAATGTAGAAGATTTTAATGAAAATGAAATTTCACAAAATTATTTAGGTTTGATGAATATCATGTATGAATGGTGCAATGCGTTACATTTTCAGTGTGAAAGTTTGTCTGATAATAAATTCAGTACGTGTTGTCATAAGGGTAAAGTAAAGTTGGCCGAATTAACTCCATATCCAGATTATTTAAAAAATTTATTAAACGTTAATAATTCTGAGGGTAAAAATTTTAGAGAAAATATTCGTTCATATAATAGCACATTTGCTTTTGCAAGTATGGGAGAAAAATTAGAGGTTCCTAAAGGAAATGGACCATATGTGTTTCGTATACATGGACAAGTGTATCATTGTACATACTCCTTACATCCAAATGAAAAAGAGAGACGTAAATATGGTCAATTGTATATAATTGATTCTCATGAAGCTGTACAAGAAAGATTGAATAATAAATATAACAACAAATGTTTACCAAAATTATTGACAGAAATAGATATTTTACTTAGAGATATTAATCCGTTTGCTAAAGCATTTAAAATGATGCGAGATTTTGAAATTGAAGAAAATGAACGAGCAGAGTCTTTAAATGTGCCTGTAAGAAATATTGAAATGTGGATTAAACGTGATAGATTATTAAATCAGAAACAATTTAACATTCCGCATTGTAATGAAGTAGCAATAATATTTGTTAGTGAAGATGGTGAACTTCCTATGGAACGTGATATATGTATACATCCAAAAGATTCAAAAAGTATTCCAATTTCCAGTCTTAGTGCAAATGTTGATCCCATGACGTATCCTTTAATGTTTCCTCGTGGTGATCCTGGCTGGACTGTAAATCTTATGAATACTAAGGGCACTCGTAATGTCACTACTTTACAGTATTACATGTATCGTCTTTCATATAGAAAAAATTTTAATCCATGTTTAAGATTAGGAAAATTAACACAACAATTTGTAGTTGATGTATGGTCAAAAGTAGAAGGTGAGCGTTTAAAATACATTCGTTTACAGCAAACTAAACTTAGAGCTGAACTATATTGTGGCTTAATGGATTATATAAATAATAAAGCAAAAGATGAAAATATTCGACCAGGAAAAATGGTTATTTTACCCTCTACATTTATTGGAGGACCACGCGCTTATTAACAATCTTATATGGATTTTATGCGATTAGTCCAAGAATTTGGGAAACCATAGTTATATTTATTACTATGACATGTAATCCAAAATGGCGGGAAATTACAGAAAATTTATTGGATGGTGAGAAATCGCATCTGACCGGCCTGATATTGTATCCAGAGTTTTTCAACAAAAAGTACAAGAATTTATGAGATATAAAAGAAAATCAAATTTTCGGTCCAGTAATTGCATTTATATATGTTATTGAATTTCAAAAACGTGTATTGACACATATCCATTTAATTATATTTGTAGATAAAAAATTTGCTATTAATGATCCAGAAAATATTGACAAAATCATATGTGCAGAAATTCCAGATGAAAAAAAACATCCAAAACTTTATAATATTGTAAAGCAGTTTCAAATTCATGGACCTTGTGGAAGACAATTTATGAATTCACCTTGTATGGATCCTGAAAATAAAATTTGTACAAAACATTATCCTAAACCTTTTCGTTCCGAAACAAGTTATGATTCTAAAAATTATCTGGAATATAGAAGGAGAAATGATGGTAAGAAAATAATTTTCCATAATAAAGATGGTTCTCTCAAATTTACTGCAGATAATTCGATGATTGTACCATATAATGCATATTTGAGTACAAAATATGAAAGTCATATTTGTCCTGTACCATGTGGTAGTATGGATGGTTTTATATATTTATTTAAATATTTTTTTAAGGGTCATGATTGTGCTATTGTAGGATATAAGGATGATAATAAGGAAATTTATTATGATGAAATTGAATATTATTTGAACACACGTTATGTTTGTCCACCAGAAGCAATGCATAGAATGTATAAATTTAAAATGCATGAACAATCACATGCAGTAAAAAGATTAGCATTGCATTTACCTGATCAACATTCAATTTGTTTTAAAGAAGGATTAGAGAAAGATGCAATTAATAACTATAAAGATACAACATTAACGGCATGGTTTAAATTAAATACTGAATATCCTGAAGCACGAAAGTATTTATACACAGAAATACCATATAGATATGTTTTTGATGAAGCATCTAAAAGTTGGAAAATTAGGGATCGATTTACTACACCTATTCTTTGTCGCATGTATTTTGTTAGTCCGAAAGATATTGAAAGATATTTTTTGCGACTTTTATTACTTTATGTACATGGTGCTAAATCGTTTGAAGATGTAAGGACATATGAAGGTATTACATATAATACTTTTACCGAAGCAGCACGTGCAAGAAATTTAATGCTAGATGATAAGGAATGGCATAACTGTTTAACTGAAGCTGTAAGTATGAAATTTCACAAAGAACTTTGTCGTCTCTTTGCATATATTTGCGTTTTTGGCTTGCCTGCTAATGCTGTTGATTTATGGAATAAATATAAAGAATATATGATTTTTGATAATAATATACCTACGGAAATTTCCATTCAAAATTCGTTAATTTTAATTAATGAAGTAATAAATTTTCATGGTTTTACATCACAGCAATTTGAATTACCAAGAATTGATAAAGATGTTCTTCAGAAATATAATTCTTTAGGAACAAATAATAAATTGTTTGAATTACAAACACTTAAAGAAGAAGCTAAAATTCTTACTAAAAGTTTGAATAGTGAACAACGTGAAGTTTATGATGATGTCATGATGGCAGTACATAACGATAAGTGTAATAATAGATATTTTTTCTTATATGGACCCGGAGGTAATGGTAAAAGTTATTTACATAATACTATTATTACTACAGTTGAAAGTGAAGATTTAGTAGTTTTATCAGTTGCATGGACTGGCATTGCTGCAAATCTTTTAAAAAGAGGACGAACGTCCCATTCAATTTTTAAATTTCCCATACCAATCAATGAAAAATCAGCATGTAATATAAGTTGTATGTCACAACATGCTAAACTTTTGAAAAAAATATATATATTATTTGTGGAAAAATAGTGATAATCCTGACGGATTGTATGCGATGCGAATGCTCTACGAAATTCGCGGAAAATTCATGAAACACGAGGTTTGAAATTGAAATTCTGTCCAAAATGTATAAAAAATGATGAAATTGATAGTATAATAACACAGGCACACAAAAAAAGCTGTTTGGCCGAGACACTACACTAGTCTTTTTTCATGTATTTTTTCATGCTGAATCCGAATCCGAAGTCAGAATTATCAGATTGGCTTTTATTTTTGAGATAAACTCAAAAAACTGCTCAGAAAGAAAAATAAAATCAAAAAGTTAAAAAAATTTTGAATGTTAGTGCAATAGTGTAGTTCCATGTATTTTTTGTCGCTGAATCCGAATCCAAAGTTAGAATTGTTAGATTTGCTCAAATTTTTGAGATATTTGCAAAAAAACGCAAAAAAAAATTATCTGTGCCCCTAATTCAGAATTTTTATCAGTTTTTGGTGATTTTAGCTCAAAGAAATTTTTTTTGCCGAAACACTACGATAGTGCATTTTCATGTATTTTTTCACGCTGAATCCGAATTCGAAGTCAGAATTGACAGATTGGCTCAAATTTTGAAGATAATTCCAAAAAACTGATTTTGAGTATTTTGAGTCTTTTGTTACTTGCGTTTTTTGCAATTATCTCAAAAATTTGAGCGAATCTAACAATTCTGACTTTGGATTCGGATTCAGCGACAAAAAATACATGGAATTACACTATTGCACTAACATTCAAAATTTTTTTAACTTTTTGATTTTATTTTTCTTTCTGAGCAGTTTTTTGAGTTTATCTCAAAAATAAAAGCCAATCTGATAATTCTGACTTCGGATTCGGATTCAGCATGAAAAAATACATGAAAAAAGACTAGTGTAGTGTCTTGACTAAACCACATTTTACTTTTGTGTGCCTGTGTAATTATTACAATTAAGAAGTTTTATGCACTTTAATATGATTATTGTTAAATAATTATACAAATTTAACATGTATTTATTAATTTCAATCTTTACAGTTTATTATCAACATTTGTCGATAAAATCAATAGAGACGCGCTTTTTAGCAGGTAGGTGGAAGCACTCTTTTTTTCTTTTTAAATTCTTCTGTGTTTTTCTTATAAAAAGCAAAACTCTTATTTATTATACGGAAATTTTGGTAAAAAACGTATTATTTTATCAAAAAAATTAATATTTTCATAAAAAACATTGGTGAAAAAATGAATTTTTTATCAAAAAAAAAGTTTAAAAAAATTAATTTTAAATTGAAATAATGGGGAAAAAATAAATTGTTTTATCAAAAAATTAGTATATTATCAAAAATATTGGTAAAAAAACAATTTTTTATCCAAAATATTGGTAAATAAATTAAGTTTTAATATTTAAAGGAATGAAAGTTTGAAAGAATTAATTATCTTTCTGTAAAAAATATTGTTAATATTGTTTCTATTTCAAAACGGGAAAAAAGAAGGCCTTTTTATGAAGTATTTCTAAAAAACCATGACATTTATTCAGAAATTTCACAGGAAAAACGCTAGGTAAATTTTGTTGCAGGTAATTTTCACCAATGCTAATTCACATAGACGGTGGCGCCCTCAACTGGGATAAAATTTGTTGCAAGTAATTTTTATACCGATTTTGGGGTAAAAATTCTACTTTTTTTTCGTGTGTTTTGTTTACATGTTATAACACAGATGTCTGGAAAGAAAAAAAAGTTTGCCTATGATGCCAACAAAAATCATTGTTACCTGGTGGTTCCTTAGCACCCCCTGAAACGAGAAAACTTAACCTAAAAATCGTAGCTGTTCATTTAGAGAAGTTTCGAAATTTTTTCAAAAAACTTGTTTTCTAAGGGTCAGAGATAAGTTTTACATTATGTTAATGATTTTTATTTATGTGGATGTGTTTGTAGGATCTCATTTTCTAGGTACAAGTGATTAAAAATTTTTTTAATAAAAAATGAACTCGAATTCGTCACTTTTCTTTTATGTAGGTGACGATTTTGGATGATTTAATTAGTAAATAAATAAATCGTGTTAATGAATTTATATGTATAGGGCGAAATTCCACCACGAAGTGTTGTTAGGTTTTCTCAAAAACTGCCTGTAGGAGAGGGAAGAAGTTGGATTTTTCAAAAAATTTAAACAGGGAATTTTGATTTTTTTGAGAAGTTAAAAATGTGTATTTTTACTACAAAAAATATTGAGATGTCCTTGTTTGTTATTTTCAAGATATTAATTATTTAATTATTTAACGTTAACAAAAGATAAAATATTTTTTTATAAGTTATTGTAATTCTGACGTTACCAATTGAGAGCTACCGCAATTCCGCATCCAACGAGCCCTATATGAAGAATTTTGGGTTAGTGGATTGTTAATAAATAATCGCATAACATTGCAAGTGTTTATAAAAATCCCTCTAATTCAAAATGGTTCATATTAGTCTCGTTGGATGCGGAATTACGTCAGCTTTCAATTGGTAACGCTAAATTACGATAACATTATTTGTTTATAAAATATTGCATTTTTTATTAACATTAAATAATTCATTAATTAATATCTCGAAAATAACAAAAAAGGAACTTTCAATATTTTTTGAATTGAAAGTACACATTTTTAACTTTCCAAAAAATCAAAATTCAATGTTAATTAAATTATTCAAAATCGTCACCTGTATAAAAGAAAAGTGACGAATTCGAGTTCATTTTTTATTAAAAAAATTTTTAATCACTTGTGCCTAGAAAATGAGATCCTACAAACACATCCACATAAATAAAAATCATTAACATAATTTAAAACTTATCTCTGACCCTTAGAAAACAAGTTTTTTGAAAAAATTTCGAAACTTCTCTAAATGAACAGCTACGATTTTTGGGTTAAGTTTTCTCGTTTCAGGGGGTGCTAAGGAACCACCAGGTAACAATGATTTTTCTTGGCATCGTAGGCAAAATTTTTTTACTTTCCAGACACCTGTGATAAATAACTGATTGAAGATTATGAAAAAAAAAATTTACTCTTGTAGTTTTGCTCGATGTACATTTTTAAAAAATG